TTCATATATTATAACTTCTGAAACCCTGTCTCCAAGTGGATCTGGGCTCTGCCCACTTTGGAGATCAGCTTCTAATCATATCAAGTTTGTGAGCCTTGCACTGATGGAAATCTACATCCCTGGATTATTGGCACGACAGACAGACAGATATACAGACAGAGACAGACAAGACCAGGCAGATGGAGATGGCTTTTTGTGTCAACATGCTTTTGCCTAGTATCAAACTCCCTACCATTTGGAGAGGGGAGAAGAGAAAAATGTGTTACCAATAGAGGAGAATGTGTTTCAATTATATTAGCACATTGCACTGTCTGCTGAAGCTGCTTCTAACTGCATTAAATTGGATTAATGGAGAAATCTCCTGCAGTTCAAGGACAGAATGCAATCTCAAAGTGCTGCTGCTTCACTTCGCTGTCAGCTTCATGTCATAGAGCAGAGAAATGATTTAGCACCTATCAAAAGAAATCTGCAGAGGAAAGTAATTGAGGTAAGTTGGGGGACAGTATTTGAGAGAGGTTTTTTTCCCACAGAAAGACACCAAGGCCAATTTGTGCTAGATCCATAGAAATATAAAGAGAAGAGACCATGAATTGAGGATGCTATTCTGTGCGACATAATCAGACTATTGCTCCTATCTCAGTGATGGCGAACCTTTTAGAGACCGAGTGCCCAAACTGCAACCCAAAACCCACTTATGTATCGTCGGGTGCCGGGTGCGTGTGGCCCATTGGGTGGGTGTGGCTGTTGTGGTAACGGCAGACTGGGTGGGACTAAAAAGTTCAATCAATCAATTCCAACTTTGCGAGATCTTTTTTTTCCTGCAAAAAGTTGAAATTGATTGATTGGTTGAACCTTTTTTTTTTTTTTGCACATGGCAGTGGAGGCCTAAAGCGAAAAGGTTTTATAAAACCCAGCTGAAGGTCTAGGACTGGGGTGACGGCACGTGTGCCCACAGAGAGGGCTCTGAGTGCCGCCTCTGGCACCCATGCCATAGGTTCGCCACCACTGTCCTATCTAGTTCAGTGTGCTCACCAGGCTTACCCTGATCTAGTGACCCTCACGTTGGGCTGGATTGCAACCTGCCTCATCACCAATAAGCACGGCCAAATTCAGTGCTGGCAAGGGACAATGAGAGTGACAGACCTCCTGAACATAGGTCCAGCAAGGAACAATCTTTATCAGTCCAATTTTGGAGACTGAACCTGAAACCTTTTTGCATGGAAAGCACATGTTCTTTCTTTAAACCGTGAACAAGCAGCCTTATGGGACTTGGGAAGCATGCCTTTTTGATATTTGCCTCTTGGTTCTGAAACAATCTCCCTCAGATAGGTCAAGGTCAAAGTTACCTCTGACTCTAGGGCCGTGGTGGTGAACCTATGGCACACGCGCCACAGGTGGCACGCAGAGCC